TATATATATATATTAATTTTTATATGATACATATTTCTTAAAAGTTAAAACAACCTCACAAAATATAAAAAAGAAGAAATGTATTATGAGCTTTATAATATTTATAAATTAATTGACTATTAATTTTTTGTAATATAAATGTTAGATAAATATTTAGGGAACGTGTCAGCTTATTCTCTTGTGTTTAAATCGTGTAAAAAATGTTCAAACTGTATTGGAAAGTGTCAAAATAAAAAACTGATAATCTTAATTGTAATATAATAAATAGATGTCAAATTTCTGTTCGTATATATTTTTAATAAGTATTGTGTAAAATGCATCTGCACGACATTTTATAAATGTGTCATAAGTTCATAACTTGCTTTCAAATTTGAGAAATTCAATATTTTGGCTTCTGAATGACAGGAAGTGCAAAAAACACTTTTTATTTACTGCTTTGGTGCAAACCTGCGTATGTTTGGTGGGCCTATTTTCTTCCTCTTTTCACCTAAACTTTTCTGAACGTTATTTTCTTATGTGTCTTGAGACAAGAAAGAAAAAATGTTGTGTGTCTACTCTTGGACACGTATGCTCTTGAACTTAAAAAGCCTTTCTCTTTCAACATCTATGACTCAAATGGTATATATTGTTTACTAGCTTACATGGTTGCAGCATAGCCAGGCAATTATTTACATCCTCTTAATCCTTTCTGACCACTCTGCTTGACTGAACTCTTTAATTACTGTTCTACTTTTCATGCAATCTTTCCAAATTGATCCAATTCGAATGAAAATGGTTGAATTGAACAAAAGGGTATGTTAAAATCACCAAGCTTTTTCACATCGATCTTTGACTAATATGTTGTTACATATTTCCTCTGCTTCTCCCACACCAATTGAAATTCGTCATCATTACAAAGTTTATCATCATCACGGTTACTAATTACACCTTGCATCTGACTAGGGAAAACCAAACATTAAATTCAATGGGGCCACTTTGCCTATTAATTTTCGAAGTTGTCATGGTCA